GTTTAGTAAATTGCCATAAGGCTAAATTACCTGAAGGAAGTATCGTCACATGATCGAAAATTGGTTTGTGGGCAAAACATTTGTAGAAATACAAGACCTTTCATTTCATTTCACTTTGCATTCCCCCCCTGTCACTTTGCATTTCGTTTCAATTTTTTGTTTTTTTTTCTAGCAAAAAGGGGGGGGCCGCGGCAGCTTCGCCCCCCCTAAATCCGCCGCTGTTGGCGTTTCAAAAAATCCTGAAATTCATTTCGAGAAGTGCTAATCAAAGCTTAAGCAGTTTGTTTCTTGACGAATAGCCTTAGACGTAAATAAACCTTAATTTAGTATTTGCACTTACATAGCGTATACATAATAAGGACATTTGGCACGCCACAATTATACATTCGACATTCATGCATCACATTCTTTTTTTGTTACTATGCAGTATACAACTTAAAAATTACGAAATCACTCATGATTTACTTTCTTTGTTTCGGTTATGTTGTATTTTTTGATTCTTCTGACACATATGCGAAGCTCATGTGTTCGGAAGAAAAAATTGCTTTGTTTGCGGTGGCTTAGATTTTTCAATTATTTTTCTGCGCTCTTCAAGCCCAATATTTGAAGAAAATTTTTCATTTGTAATCTAAGCGAATTTGGGATGAATCGCTGAGCCGCATGCATCGGAAGGTCTTAACTAACGTCAATTTCTTACAAAAACTCGTCATTCTTTGAATCAATATTATTAAAATGATTTCCACCAAACAAACTAACAATATCGTCATAATTATACTGCATATTAATGAGGTCAGTGGCTGACTTATCTAAAACGTCCTCTGAGTTTGGTGCACGTGTTTCCTCTGAAGTTGGTGTGTTGCCTTCTTCTGAGGCTGGCATTATTTAGTCTTCTGACTCGACATAGAAACATTTTTGTTTTGCTGCAAACGTTAATTGTATTATTTGCTGTTGGTACTTAATTGAACTTACTTAAGAGACGGCAATTGCATATAAACGGCTAGCTGATCTGCTGGCACAAAAGAGAAAGCTGCAATATGGCATCACGCTAGCGTGGATGCGTTGTAACTGTCTTTCGCACTGATTAGGTCAGCAATTACTGCGATACGAGGAAGTCGATCTGCCTCAACTCGCGAACATACTTTAAATATTGACCTAGGTTATTGGGAAAGTTGTCTTTACATTTGACTCCTTTATCATGGATATTTTTAAACACTGATTTTAGTCATATTTGATTTAGTTTTTAACATTTATATTTTGTAGATAATAATGATCAGTCTATTAACAGATCAGTGTAAACTAATAAGTGGGCAATTAATATAGGTGTTACTATCAAGTCGTCATAGAACAAGAATAAGCAATTTAATGAAATAAACCAAATTACAAGTTACTACTGTTAAATTATTATCTTCAAATTATGGTTTTAAATTACTGTCTTCAAGTTACTGTTTTCAAGTTACGTTAAGGACCGTTTGGTCCCACGTACAACATTCAACAACAACAATTTGTCTTTTACTCTTATTAAAACAACACCCTTTCAAACGTCACTTCCTGCTCCCCATTCCGTCCAAAGCGTAATTCATACGGTAGCCACGGCCCCTAAATGGAAATTGCAACGTAGCAATCCATTTACAACCATATTAAGCTACCGTTAAATCTGGATAACACAACAAGAACATAACTCTCAAATTCTAAATTATTTAGATATATAAACTTTAATTGTCCATCTCAAGTAGACATAATTTAGTCACGGGACGGATCAAGGTTACCGTGTTCATCTTGTAATCTCCCTTTCGTTGATGTTTGGCTCTGGTCGATACTGTTGAACTAGTTTTACCTTCACTGTCCGCACATAACCGTCATTGCTATTGCTTCTACAACGAGACCTAACGGCCATTGTCCCTTGGGTAGTTTACGTCAGCTACAAGTACTAGATCTCCTTTTTTAAGATTCCGTCTCGGTGTGTACCATTTCTTTCTCTCCATTAATGTTGGTAAGTATTCTTTGAGCCATCTACGCAAAAAACATTTGCTAAGTATTGAGCCTGCTTCCAATTCTTCTTACAGCACAAATCATTCTTGTCAAATAATCCTGGGGGTAAACTAGTACTTGCTCGTAAATGCAATAAGTGGTTTGGAGTTAGAGGATCGTCATCTTCAGGACTGTCACTGTTGCGCGTGAGAGGTCTTGAATTCAGGATTAGAACCACCTCTGCAATCACGGTTTGCTGGACTTTGTCTGAAACTACTTGTTCCTTGAGAATTGCTTTGAGGATTTGTCTAACAGATCGTATCATTCTCTCCCATACGCCTCCCATATGGCTCGCTGAAGGCGGGTTAAAGTGCCACTTAATTCTTCTTTGCGTACAAAATTTGTCCACTTTACTTTGATCCCATTCTTCAATTCCTTTATTCAATTCCTTGTTAGCACTCACAAAATTTGTTCCTCTATCACTCCTGATTTGCTCGGGACATCCTCGCATGCTAATAAATCTCCTGAGAGCGTTGATCATTGAGTCTGTATCCAAGGAATGAGCTATTTCTATATGGATTGCTCGGGTCGTGAAACATGTGAAAAGGCAACCATATCTTTTCACCAACGATCTACCTCTTTTCACCAGCATGGGTCCAAAATAATCGATTCCTACTATAGTAAAGGGAGGTTTTTGAGGTGTCACTCGGCTTTCTGGTAGATCTGACATTAGCTGCTTACCCAAACGAGCCTTTCTTCTTTGACAAGCTAGGCAACTTCGTACTACGCGTCGAACTGCTGTTCTTCCTTTAATTATCCAGAATTCCTTTCTTAGTGATGATAAGACGGATTCTTGACCCATATGACCTACTTCAGCATGATGTTGACGAATTATCATATCTGTGACGGGATGCTTGAAGGGTAGAATAATAGGATGTTTTGATTTCCCATTGATTGGCGCATTACCAAGTCTGCCTCCAACCTTTAGTAAGCCGTTCACCATCATTGGATTTAATTGTCGGATGGAGATTCCTGATTTTCTGAGTAGTGCCTTGTCAAGCTCGTTACTATTTCCTGGAACTGCAAACAGTTTTAGTTCTTGAGAAAATGTGGTGTTCTGTACATGTGCGAAGATCTCCCTATCGGCGGCATCCAATTCTTCCATTGTAAGTCGTCCAACTTTAAATTCCGATTCCAAATGAGGACTAGAAATAACTTTCCTTTGTCTCGCCTTGCTAAGAAGATAATCCTTATAACGTAACAACCAAGCAACAGAACACCTCAACTTCCACCAAACGGAGTGGCGTGAAATCAACATATCCAACAAATAAGGCTGTTCTGCAGTCACGTAGATTTGGGCTTCCTTCCTTACCTCTCGGTCTTCATCCTTTAGTTCAGGAATTGTTATTCCCTTCGGCCAATGGCTTTCATCCTCCCAAAGGAATGCAGGACCTTTTAACCATTGGCCTTCATTTCTCAACACGTCCAATCTAACGCCCTTGGAACCTTCATCGGCGGGATTGTCGTCTCGGTTCACGTAATTCCACTCGGATGGGTGCGATCCACTACGAATCACTGACTAACGGTTGGACTCGAATGTGGGAAATCTTTTGCTTTCATTGTTAATACATTTGAGGACTGACATTGAATCTGTCCAGTAACAAACTCTTTGCACTACCATATCCAATTCTTCTCCAATAATCTTCGAAAGTCTTACTGAAATGACGGCAGCCGTTAATTCCAGTCTTGGAATAGAAATCTCCCTTAATGGAGCGAGTCTAGCCTTCCCAATTACAAATGAGCAGTGTATTTCGTTGTTTCCATTCTTTAGACGCAAATATGCCACCGCCGAATAGCCAAGTCGAGAGGCGTCGGAGAAAATATGTAGACTCACATCTTTAACTTCTTTGAATCCTGCAGGTTTAAAACAGCGGCGAACCCGAATTTCTTGTAGCTTTGGGAGATCAGCTACCCAACGTTTCCATTGCAAAGTTTGTTCGCCTGAATGTGATCATCCCATCCAAGTCCTTTTCTACAAAGCATTTGCAGTATTAACTTCGCCTTCATAACAAACGGAGCAATAAAGCCTAAGGGATCGAAAAGCGAATATACTGCTGACACTATCTTCCGTCGAGTGACAGGACCTTCGTTTCTAACTGCAACATTCTTTCCGCTACAACCCACACAAACATATCCTCTTCTGTGTTCCACTTTATTCCAAGAGTACTTTCTGTGGAAGCTTATCCAATTTTAATTCTTTACGGATTTTGCTCTCTCAGTTTCGGGAATTGTTGCTATCAAGCTCCTGCTGTTGCTGTACCATTTTGTAAGACGGAATCCTCCTCTTTTCAATAGTTGACGCAATTGACTCGCTAAACTTATTGCTTTTTCTGGTTCGCTTATTGATTTCATCAAGTCATCGACATACATGTTACGTTTCACCGTCTCTACTGCTAGTGAGTCGTATTCTTTTTGATACAACTCGGCTGTCTTCCGCAAACAGAAATTGGCGATACTTGGAGAAGACGTTGCTCCGAACAAATGTCTCGTCATTCGGTATTCTTCCATGTCTCCAGAAAGGTCTTTATTTGGCCACCATAAGAATCGCAATGCATCCCGATCCTTTGGTTCCACTAGAACCTGATGGAACATTGCTTCTACATCAGCAACTACTGCAACTAATTCCTCTCTGAAGCGAATTAACACGCCTGTTAATAGATTTGTCTGATCCGGACCCTGTAGAAGTTGTTGATTCAACGACGTTTGCTGATATCTGGCTGCACAATCATAGACGACTCTTACCTTTTCGGGCTTTAGAGGATGAGTAACCGGGTGATGTGGTAGGTACCACGTTGGTCTGTCGTTTACCTCTAGTTGATCCTGAGGAATTCTTTCTGCGTAGCCTTTATCAATGTAATCGTTTATTGTTGCTTGATACTTTTCCAACAGGTTTTCATCCTTGTGGAGCCGTTTTTTCAAAAGCAAGCCTCTGCATTCTGCGATTATTCTGTTATTGGGTAAGGAGGGCGGTTTCTTTCGCCATGGCAGAGCAACTTGAAAATGATTATCCACTACTGTCAGCGTCTCTTCCATTATTTGAAGCGCTTTCTTGTCTTCAAGCGACGGACACACTTTAGTTTCAACTAGGGAGCCCTCAAAGTTGGTCTTCCACAGTCTTTCCAATTGATACTTGAGGCATTCATTTTCCGCTTCATCAACTTCATTATTAGTGGCAGAGTCAGGGGCATCGAATTCCAATCGTGCAAGATTAGCCGATGCACACCGTTCATTTCGTTAGGCGACAGGACCAATCACTGTCCATCCTAAACTGTATTTAATTGCCACTGGATCCTTCTCCTCTCCCAATTTATATTCCAAAGGTAGAAACAACTTACGATTTTCGCGCAGCCCGATAACCAGCATTACTTCACAAGTCTCTAACTCTTGCAACGGAAGATTGCGTAAGTGCGGCCATTTTCTTATATCACCTCTTTTTGCTACACAAGACTCTGAAATTGGTATTTGGTTCACCGTTCTGACGTTTGGTAATTCAACCACTGTGCTGTCGTCCATAGAACGATATCCACTAATTCACTCTTTAATTCAGTCGATCCAGTCATCCCTGTCAATGTGAAGTCAAGCTTTCGCCCAGTTATTCCAAGTTGATTTTGCAAACTTTTATGACCCAGTGTTACTTCTGAACCGCTATCCATTAGTGCGTAAGTTCTGACTGACGGTCGATTTTCCCCCTTTGCTTTCACTTTCAGTGGGACAACGCTAAGGCACACGCGGTCTCCGGCCCCAGTTGCAACTGCTACCTTTACTTCATCTGGACTTCCCTCTTTGTACGGTTCCCTCTTCTTGTTTGTGTTATTTCCTTCACACAGTTTGTCCTTTGAATCCTCTTTACTGGACGTATTCGTTTGTGGTGGATGTAACAACGTATTGTGGCCCTTTCCGCATCCTTCTACTCGACATTTAAGATCAGTCTTGGGACAAGATCTGGCATAATGCCCTCTAGTAAGGCACCTGAAACAAAATTCGTGTTCTTGAACAAACTTCATCTTTTCGTGATAAGGAAGTTTCTTAAACTTATCGCATTTCCATATCCTATGGCCTTCTTGACAAATGAGGCATTTCATGTTTGATGTTCTCCTTTCTTTAAAGTTTCCATCTCTACCGTTCTCTCGTTTGTACGCTCCAGCTGCAAACGAACTAGTTCTCGCAGAGGGACCCTTTTTCCCTTCTAATCTCTTGCCTCCATCTTTCCTTACGACGCCAGAACAGAGATCTTCTCCGAATTCGTTGTTCACGAGTTTGGCTCTTTTCTTCACAAACAAAAGGAAATCTTTAAATTTAGGTCTAGAACCAGATTCGATAATAGAGCCCGCACATTCTGTCCACCTAACTCTCATAAATAGTGGTAGCTTACGATTTAATTCGCGTAGGGTGTTCATATGGTCCAGCTCGCTTTCATATTCTGGCCCCATACTAGCAAGGGTTCTGTTTGCCACTTCCAGATGTCGAGTTAACTCCAACAAACTTGGTCCATCTGCTTGCTTCAATAGCGGCAAATTCATCAACTTTAGAACATGAGCCTTTGCAATTATGTGCGGTTTGCCAAAATTTTCATACAGTGTGTTCTTCGCGATATTATAACCTTCCTGGGCAGGTAAGTTAACACAACTCTCAATAGCATCACGTGCTTTACCAGTGCAATGTTGTATTAGGAGTTGAAGTCTAGTAGAATTATCTGGATTGTCCTTTTCTAAGCAAGTCTCAAAATTATGCATGAAGGAGGCATAATTTATTGCATCACCCTCAAAGTGCATATATTTGATTTTTGGCATGGAAACTACTTGTCTCAAGGCTTTTACTATCTCGTCTCCTCCTCCTCCTTCCTTTAATTGGATCTGTTCGGCTTTTTGTTCAATTAAGTTCGTCATAGGAGCTGATTGTGATTCGCCTTCCGACGATCTTACAGTCTGATCTGAGTTAGTTTGAGTTTTCTGCGTTGGTACCTCCGACTGTTTTATTTGTGGTTCGGATTGATCTACTTCAATGATTTTCAAGTCCCCATTCCTTGGCTGGGAGGGCATGCCTTTGTTTGTACTAGCGAACTTTGCGGAACATACGCCTTTGCAAACGGTGACAGGTTTTGTTAGTTTTGATACCGTTACCGCTGTGGTCTTACCGTGGTCTTCTTCGAGTTCGATCTCTGCTTTTGCGGCAAGCGTTAAGGCTCACCAACGCTCGCTCTTCTTCCATTTTGGCTTGCATAGCCTCCTTTTCAAATCTTAATTCTGCCATTTTCCTTTCAAGCTCATGTTGTTTCGCTAACTGATCTCTTTTCAGCTGTGCAAGGGCTAACTTTTCTTTCCTTCTGGACACTGTTGAAGACTTGGAACTATGGCTCCTTGACTTACTTGCTGAGCTTCTACTTGTTAGTAATGAAGGCGAACTAACCTCTTCTCCTCGTTGCTTTGCTTCTAATTTGGCATTCCTTTGCCAAGATCTGACCATTTCGTCCAGATGCACCTTTTTTGCCATCTGTTCCTTGTAGCTACGATTTGCTATTTCTCTTTCTTCATCCTGGACGACTAATTCAAGGTATTGTTCGTGAATGTCAACGAACGCCTTCCAATTATCATCATATTGTTTTTTGCGTCTCTTGATTTCGTCCAATGTTGCACCAGCATGAATGCCTTCTTGTAACCATCCCTGATTGGTTATTAAAGTGTTTATTAACCCGATACGAGTCTTAAACAAAACGTTGATTGTTTCGTTTCCGGTCTTTCCTATATTCGATTCCGATATTGGAGTATTTAGTTCATTGTCGAACACTGTAAAGCCTACGTGTCTGAAGCCACTCTCAGACCTTGTTTCCTGTTCGACAATCCGCTCATCTTGCAACACTATCGGCCAAGATTTTACCGACATAATCGAACACCCAAAATAGAAATGACTTCGCAAGCTGCCCTAGCAACTGTCAATCATTCCATGTAATAATCCCAAAGGTTTTGTTGCGATATCCCGTCCCGAATAAGCAAATATATTCAGATAGCCGTTTCCTTCGAGCAATTAAATACGTCGTCTGTAACGATCGAACATAAATGAAAAACACCGTCCCTGACGCAAGAATATAGTTGAGATACAGATGAGATTCACCGTCCCTGACGCAAGAATATAGTTGAGATACACGAATATAGATGAAATTCACCGTCCCCGACGCGAGAATATAGTTGAGATACACGAATATAGATGAGATTCACCGTCCCTGACGCGAGAATATAGTTGAGATACACGAATATAGATGAGATTCACCGTCCCTGACGCGCGAATATAGATGAAATACACCGTCCCTGACGCGCGAATATATTGTTTACGAATTAACAATCGCGGTGTTTAGGTCCTTAACTGTTACTATCAAGTCGTCATACAACAAGAATAAGCAATTTAATGAAATAAACCAAATTACAAGTTACTACTGTTAAATTATTATCTTCAAATTACGGTTTTAAATTACTGTCTTCAAGTTACTGTTTTCAAGTTACGTTAAGGACCGTTTGGTCCCACGTACAACATTCAACAACAACAATTTGTCTTTTACTCTTATTAAATAACAACACCCTTTCAAACGTCACTTCCTGGTCCCCATTCCGTCCATAGCGGCAATTCATACGGTAGCCACACCCGGCCCCTAAATGGAAATTGCAACGTAGCAATCATTTACAACCCTGCTTTTTACCTTTGAATTTTTTCCATATTCTTGCCTATATGAAGAAATCAACTTCAGCTTATACTTAATATTAATTATATGCAGTATATTTCATTGACTGCTCACTTTTTAAGTGCTGAAAAAAAATAAAAAAAAAATACTTAATTGAACTAAAGAACCAATAATAATCGTATAATAAATTCAGTGAGTAAGATAATTCTATGAAACATTATTCAAGAAAACTTTTAAATTCACAAACTATAATACTTAAAATACTCAACGCTGACAAAATATACAAAAAACCATGAAAAAGTTACCAACACCAATGGTACCTAATTTCCTTGCCCAATACATTCCAACACCATCGAACCAGTTGCCTGTAAGCCACATGTCTTTGTCTTTTGTGTTCAGGTCCTTCCTCAGCTCTTGAACCATAGTGTTGTATGTACTCACTCCATGCCAGTCATAATACCCAATAATTTAAACAAAGATTTCGAAAAACAGGATTATCTGTAATACAGTCTGGAGTATCTATTCCCTCAAATTTTGCCGAGTCTTCATTCATTGTTACAACAGATGAAATTTCTTTGCAACAAACATATTCTTCCTCTCTATCCATCACTTGACAATGGCTACATGTGCACCTATTCAGGTAAAATAGCAACTAAATAATCATTTTATATCAAAATATTTAATCGTTGAAAACTCAGGCATAATGTGATATTCGACATACGCAAAACGACTTGTTTTCACTTGGTGATATGTATGAGTTTGTGAAGGATTTGAGACGTTGTCTTTTTCTTTACTGGCTTCTTTTTTTTGCGGAGTCTGAACTTGAGCACCGTCAATATCCGTGGTGTTGTAATCAGATATTTCTTCATTTGTCTTTCTTAGATGTCTGCGATTCCGTCTGTATTCTGTCCCGTTTTCCCCTTTTACTATGTACCTTCTGGGTGCTTCATGTTTTCATGTTACCGTTTCTGCGAGTCCATGGTGCTGCAGGATCTTTACGAAATCGAACAATATCTCCTTCTTCCAGTGGTGCCAAAGACTTGGCTGCGCGGTCATAGTGTTTTCTTTGCTGTTCTTGCTGTTCTTGCTGTTGTTGACGTGATGCTTTAAACGTAGTTCGGTTGATGGGCTTTGGATTAAGTTTTCTTTGAGAGGTGAGAATGGTTGATCGAAGTCGTCTGCTCATTAGTGCTTGCGCCGGAGTTACACCGTCAATAGGAGTATTACGATAATCTAACAACGCGAAGTATGGATCTTCGCCGTTGGCTTTGCATTTCTTTAGAATATTCTTCGTTGTTTGCACTGTCTTCTCATGTAATCCACCAGACTGTGGATATCTCGGACTTATGGTGTTGTGACAAAATTATAGTCTTTTGCAAACTGTCTGTATTCTTCCGACGAGTATTGTGGGCCATTGTCGGACACTACAGTTTCTGGGATTCCATGACGACTGAATATGGACTTTGTCTTGTTAATAACTGTTTGTGCTTTCGTGTCTCGAAGTTCAGCCACTTCGGGATACCGGCTGTAATAATCAACAACTATTAGATGTGGTTTTCCATTCCAATCAAAAAGGTCAGAGCCAATTTTTTGCCAGGGACGACTGGCAAAAAATAATATGCCAGCAAGGAGGTAATTCTGACAATCTCACGCCAATACAATTTATCAGAGTTTTTCGAAAGGTTTTTTTCAGTTAACTTTTGACCTCTTCTAAAGAAAACTGTTCTAAAGATATGGACAGTCTGCTAACACAATTTTCAAAAAAAGAGCCCAAACCATTTAGTATGCCACTTACCCATGCAAAAGCTCCAAGTAACTCACTGTTGATTGGTGAAAATGACTACCGAGAACAAAATATTGGCAACAATTTATTGCTCAAAAATGCTGCTGCCTATGTTTCAGGATATTTGCTAAGCAAAGCTTTCAAAATCCACAGCTGTCTCCAATGTAAGAACGTTTTGACTTCAAATAACATAAAACAATGATGGCAATTTGCTTTGCTATTTCAAGGCATATAAAGAACTCAACTTTGGTGGGCTGACTGCTCCTTCATCGTGCTATATGCGAATTTATTAATCGCGAGTTTTCCTCTTCTAATAAAAGATCATGAAAGTACATTAAAGTCAAGCATTTGTAACATTCTACAAACTTACTACAAGGAAAATTCCATAGACAAAGTTGATGATCCTTTTCATTGTAACTCGCAATACAAGCATAACCATGATTGAATGTTGGCAAGTTGGCAAAAGCATCAGACCACAATAACAAATTTTGACTCTAAAACGTGTATTTTCAACGTGTATAATAAAACCATATTTGTAATCCTCAGAACAAGATATTTAAGACGATACTAAACACAAGTATATTGCAGCGTGTTAACGTCTGTCAGTTAAGTACCACGAATATGAATTAACGCAAAAATGCTCTACCTTTCTCAAGCTGCAGAATTGCTCCACGAATTTGGGCCAGGAAAATAAAACCATATTTGTAATCCTCAGAACAAGACATTTAAGACGATACCAAACACGAGTATATCGCAGCGTGTTAACTAGTTCAAAATCCGGCATATTTAGACGTTAGTGAAATTCATATCAAACATTGAAATAGAATTCCAACTCAACTTACTCAAAATTGGGGTTATGCTCTGCGACGTTGTCATGACTCTATATTGTTCGTCCTCTTTCCCCTGACAACTTTGCTGTTTGCCTGAGACTTGACGTGAGTGCTTCTACATGCAAAATATTGACAGTGAAATTATGACCGTGCCACTTTTCCCGGGAATTTTTCGAAGACAACAGCTAGAAAAATTATTATGTTTTAATAGGTAGGGTAAAAAGATCCCAACAGTAGTGGAAATTCAGTTGGTGAGGTTGTGGGGCAAATTTTATGCGATTTTTTTTGCCAAAGTGTCGCAAAACGTTTGCATGCCATGCAATGTTCAAGAACTCCTTGGCAAAAAGCCATTAAAATTACTCGACTTTTTTTATATTACAAATCTTTTCATTTATCAGTTATCGAAGCTAAAATTACTGAAAACTGTGATCAATGGAGTCTGTCGTCGGGATGTATGACAACAAAAAGCTTATAAAATGAATTAAGATTGACGACAGTTTCCTTTATCACTTTATACACGATTTGCCTAGTATAATTGCTCAAGCTGCAGCATTATTTTTTCTTTAAGTTCAGTACATTTAGCTGTTTTAACATTTTCCACATAAAAGTAAATTTTCCAAAAATTTACTAAGGCATAAATTCTGTAAACGTTTTACCCAACGTTGTGCTTTTCAAAATGATCATTGTGTTGATATTACCTGACGCTTGTTAAATTTTGAGTTTTTATTAAACAATTTAATACATCCTATGGCACTA